CCCAGCATAGATCACCTGTTTGCTTCTTAGCTTTGTTCTGAACCTCAAAATCTATACTAAATAAGACTATTGGACCGTCCATTGGTACTAGCCCCTTATTGAAAGAACACTTGATGCTCAAGTCTCCAAATCATATTCAGATATGAGGACCAGATGTTCAGAGTCTAAAACAATGGTTGAAGAACAGAGATCAGCAATGTGGAAGTCCAGAAGCCCACGTCGCTTATATACCCTCATGCCTTCTTACAGTTTACCTGGAGATATAGAAATAGGTAACTCAGCAAAAAGCAAGATGTGGGCATCAAGCAGTAGTCATATATAACAGTTAAATCTGAGACCTGTAATGTGACCAAACACTTCTTGGTACCAAGACATGGCAATTTCCAACATAGTCTCAGGCTAAATTTTACCATGGAAATCTCTGGTTTCATTAAGTGAGTTGGAGTCATTAAAACCTCTGAATTTGAAAACAAGCATTCTAGGGGCAGAGTTTAGGCCACAGACAACGTAGATACAAGGCATATGCCACTTATCCCTCCATAAGCAGGCATTATTAATTGATCATTGCACTCTTCAATCTCAGATTCCACCTCCACACAGCACTCCAGACAGCCTCTATCCATCAATTATGTTTAGTATTTGAGATGAAGATTATTTATTAACCTTGGTCCTTTTCTATGTTCTAAACTATTTTGTGTAAAGCAGTAGATATAACACAGGCATTGAAGCCTGGCACTCATATGAGTTAAGTGTCTTCAGTCTAATCAGTTAACCTCTTTGAATTGGCATCTGTTAAATGGGGAAGGCCACCAAACTGAGAACTGTTAGAAAGATTAGGATAATATACATAAAGTGCCCAGTATCATGCCTGATATATAGTAGGCATTTCATAGATGATAGCTATCATCATCATCATGTTATTATTTTAATGCTACTAATGTTGACAATGGAATTGATGATGGCATTGTCATTGAAAGAAAGAAAACATAATATTATGTATTAGGTTAAATCATATTAAATTGATATTCAATTGGTTTGAGCCTATAAAAATGGCAATTTCTTCTGGTTTAATCTAATATATAATGATACATTTCATTCAAATCACCTACTTGTTCCAACGTTGTCAGAGTCTTCCTTCAAAGTTTGCCCCCAGAGACCTACTCACACCATTTAAAAGCTTCATCAAAAATGAGTAAGTTCTTGGAAACACACAACCTCCCTAGATTGAACCAGGAAGAAATAGAACTGAACAGACCAATAGTAAGTAATGAAATTGAAACAATAATAAAAAAATTCCCAATTAAAAACAAAGCCCAGGAATACAGCTGAATTCTGCCAAGCACACAAAGAAGAACTAATACCAATCTTGAAACTCTTCCAAAAAACCAAGGAGGGGGGAAATTGTCCTTAATTCATTCTACAAGGACAGTATCACCCTGATACCAAAACCAGTCAATGACACAACAAAAAAAGACACAGACACAAAAATCCTCAATAAAATACAACAAACCAAATCGAACAGCACATTAAAAAGATAATACACCATGATCAGGTGGGATTTATCCCAGGGATGCAAGGATGGTTCAACATACACAAATCAATATATGTGATTCACCACATAAATAGAATTAAGAACAAAAACCATATGATCATTTCAAAAAATGCAGAAAAAGCACTTGATAAAATTCAGCATCCCATTAAGATAAAAATTCTCAACAAACTAGGCATACAAGGAACATACCTCAACATAATAAAGGCCTATATGACAAACACCCAGTCAATATCATATTTAATGGAGAAAAGTTGAAAACATTCCCTCTAAGAATTGGAACAAGACAAGGATGCTCACTTTCACCAGTCTTATTCAACAGTATTGGAAATCCTTACCAGAGTAATTAGGCAAGAGAAAAAAATAAAAGGCATCCAAACTGGAAAAGAGGAAGTCAAATTCCCTATTCACTGATGATATAGATCTTAATATCTAGAAAACCTTAAAGACTCCACCAAAAAACTCTTAGACTTCATAAATGAATTCAATAAAATTTCAGAATACGCAATTAATGTACAGAAATCAATAGTGCTTTTATATACCAATAACAATCTAGATGAGAACAAAATCAAGAAGGCAATCTTATTTACAATAGCTACAAAATAAAATATGGAGGAATATATTTAATCAAGGAGATGAAAAAGCTCTATAAGGATAACTACAAAACACTGATGAAAGAAATTATACATGACACAAACAAATGGAAAAACATTTCTTGCTCATGGATTGGAAGAATCAATATTGTTAAAATGATCACACGGCCCAGAGCAATCTACAGATTCAACACAATCCCTATCAAATTACCAATGCCATTTTTCACATAATTAGAAAAAACTATCCTAAAATTCACATGGAACCAAAAAAGAGTCTGAACAGCCAAAGCTATCCTAAGCAAAAAGAACAAAACTAAAGGCATTAGGTTACCTGACTTCAAATCACTACAGGCTGTATTAACCCAAAGAGCATGGTACTGGTGTAAAGATGGACACAAGGATCAATGGAACAGAAAAGAGAATCCAGAAATAAAGACACATATCTACAACCAACTGATCTTTGAAAAAGTCAACAAAAATATACATGGGGAAAATGACACACTATTCAATAAATGGTGCTGAGAAAATTGGATAGTGATATGCAAAAGACTGAGACTGGACCCATACTTCTCACCATATAGAAAAATTAACTGAACAATCTGGGCATCACAGTGAGACTCTGTCTCTACAAAAAATGAAAAAATTATGCAGGTATGGTGATGTGTGCCTATAGTCTCAATTACTTGGGAACTTAAGGAGGGAGAATTACTTGAGCTCAGGAGTCGGAAGCTGCAGTGAGCTATGATAGTACCACTGCAACTCAAGATGTATTAAAGACCTGAATGTAAGACCTGAAATTATAAAAATTCTAGAAGAAAACTTAGGAAAAACTGTTCTGAACATTGGCCTAAGGAAAGAAATTATGACCAAGTCCTCAAAAGCAAACACAACAAAAACAAAAAATAGATAAATGAGACTTAATTGAACTAAAAAGCTTCTGCACAGCAAAAGAAACAATTGAGTGAACAGACACTCTATAGCATGGGAAAAAAATATTTGCAAACTATACATCCAATAGTTTGGATGTATAGGACTAACATCCAGAATCTATAAGGAACTCAAACAACTCAACAAGGAAAAAACAACACCGTTAAAAAGTGGGCAAACAGCATGAACAGACATTTTTCAAAAGAAGACATGCAAGTGGCCAACAAACATATAAAAAATGCTCAACATCAGAGAAATGCAAATGAAAACACAATGAGATACCATTGTACACCAGTTAGAATGACTACTATTAAAAAGTCTAACAACAACAGATGTTGGCATAGATGTGGAGAAAAGGGAATGCTTATACGTTGTTTGTGGGATTGTAACTTAGTACAACCTCTATGGAGACCAGTATGAAGATTTCTCAAAGAACTAAAAATAGAACTACCATTCAATCCAGCAATCCCACTTCTGAGTATCCATTCAAAGGAAAATAAATCATTAAATAAAAAAGACACTTGCATTCATATGTTTGTCACAGCTCTATTCATAATAGCAAAGCTATGGAATCATCTAAGTATCCATCATTGGAGGAGCAGATAAAAAAAATATACACGAATACCATGGAATACTACATAGCCATTAAAAAGGATGAAATAATGTCTTTTGCAGCAATATGGATGGAACTAGAGGCCATTATCTTAAGTAAAATAACTCTGAAACAGAAAGTCAAACACCACATGTTCTCACTTATGAGTAGGAGCTCAAAAATAGGTACACATGGATATACAGACTAGAGCAATAGACACTGAAGAATATAAAAGGTGGGAGGAATAGGAGGGTTGGGTACAATGTTCACCATTTGAGTAATGGGTATACTAGAAACTCAGATTTCACCACTGTGCATTATATGCATGCAACAATTCTGCACTTGTACCCTCTAAATATACAAAAATTTTTTAAAATAGAAAAAAAAAATCCTTCCTCAAGTCAGTTGGTAGAATAAGCAAAGCAGCAAGTGTATGCTGGAGAGAAGTTGAGGACCTGGTGTCTAATTCCATTACCTGGTATCTAAGCATTTAACCTCCAAACGTTGTCCTATCTCTAAATTAGGAATAATAGTGCTTTCTTCAACAGGGGTTTTGTGAATGTAAGAAAAGATAATGGATGAGAAAGCGCTTTCTTTTCTTTTCTTTTTTTTTTTTTTTTGAGTTGGAGTCTCACTCTGTCGCCCAGACTGGAGTGCAGTG